CCCCTCTCTCTCTCTCTCTCTCACCCCTCCCCTCTCTCCCTTCCCCTCCTCTCTCTCTCTCTCGCTACCTCTCTCGCCCCCTCTCTCTCGCTACCTCTCTCTCTCTCTCTCTCTCGCTCGCTCACCCCCTCTATCTCCCTCCCCGTGCCTATCTCTCTTTACTCTCCATTCCCACTATCCTTCTTCACCACCCCCCCACCACCTTTTCTCATGTCCAACCCTTAACTCTGTCTTTATCTATCTATTTGACACACTGTCACTTTCATTCTGCTCTCTGTCAGCCCCACGTTCCACCGTCTGGCCATCTCTAACTCCTTGGCCCTCCTTCTCTGTCCCTGTCTGTGTGTCTCTCTATCTCTGTCTCCCTCTCTCTCTCCCCTCTGTCCCTCTGAGTGCCTATGCCTGCTTCTCTCACCATAGTTCTTGATCTGTCTCTGTCTCGCTTGTTCTCACTCTCTATGACCTATGATCTAGAGACAGAATCCCTACAGTGTGAAAACTGTCTGTAAATCTCTCCCCGTCCCTTAGCTGTTGTCACCCTACTTTCCTCTCCCTTTTGTCTGTGTCCCTCTCTGTAACCCTCTACTGCCTTTCCTCACTCCTCCCTGTTCCTGCATTGGCCCTCTCACTCGATTAAAAGCCAGGTACCCACAGGCAAGAAACCCCCTCGTGCTCCCCCAGGGGCAACTGGGAACCCTGCTCCTATCCGCTGGCAGCTCCCCCGCAGCAGTGTGAACCGTACCCCACCAGCTTCTACAGTTTTAATTTCACCTCCTTGCTTAAAACCATGCGAGCCCATCGAGCCTGCTTTGCCACTCAATGAGTTTGTGGCTTATCTGATCATCCACTTTCCTGCCTTTTCCCCCATCACCCTCGATCCCCTTCCTGATTAAAAATCTCTCTCTCGGCCTTGAATATCCTCGATGACCCAGCCTCGACAGCACCCCCTCTGCGGTAAAGAATTCCACAGATTCACTCCTTCCTCAGAATAGAGAAGAAATTCCTCTCCATCTCCATCTTCAGTGGGCGACCCCCTCGCTCTGAGATGATGCCCCCTCTGGTCCTAGACTCTCCCACACAAGGGGGTAACAACTCCCCCCCACCCCCAAGAACCCTGTCTGTTTCAATAAGGTTGCCTCTCATTCCTCTAAACCCCAATGAGTACAGGCCCGAATGACTCCCCCTCTCCTCATGAGGCAGTCCCTCCCTACCCGGGATCAGCCGAGTGAACCTTCTCTGGACTTTATACCTTTACTTAGATAAGGGGCTCAAAACTGTTCACAGTCTTCCAGCTGACTAGTGCCTTGTACAGTTTTAGCAAAATCTCCCCACTTTTAAACTCCACTCCCTTTGCTATAAGGTCATCATTCCCTTTCCTTTCCCTATTCCCTGCTGAACCTGGAGGCTGGCTTCTTGTGATTCATAGACGAGGACTCCCAAGTCCCTCTGTTCTGTAGTTTTCTGCATCCTTTCTCCATTTAAATAACCTTCAGCTCCTCTTTTCTTGCTGCCAAAGTGTGTAATGCCAACTCCTGTAACCTGTCTATATCCCCCTGCAGACTCTTTCCCTATTGCTGGTGCCCTGGATCCAACCGGCTCTCTCTCTGGCTCTCTCTCAACCTGTCTCAGTGAAAGGCTGTGGATGCCGGATGTTCTCAAAGAAACGCCAGGGAAAAGTGCTGGAAGAACTCTTAAAACAGTTCTGAAGAAAAGTCACACTGGACTCAGTGTTGACTGTCTGTCTCTCTCTCCCCCTCTCTCTCTCTCCATCTCCACACAGAGGCTGCCAGAGCTGTAGCTATCCTCCAGCCGCTTTCTGCTTTTACTATCTGACATCCAGATAGCTGGGCGGCTGGCTTCTTTATTTCGATGCCCTTCCCCTTGGTAGCTCACTCACGTCCCACCCCCCTCCTCCAGGTCTTTCTGCAGTGACCCACAGGCCTCCTCCACGTTGCGAGAAGGAGGTGGCAGGAAGACTGTTTGCTCGTCCTCTCGCATCGATCGATTGCCTCTCGGTACAAGTGACAACAATAAACCGACGAAAAGTGTTGTTTTGTGTGCAGTCCAGGCGGATGGTGCTGTATGAGGTGCACCAGGGGAGCAGAACAGGGTGCAGCATACAGCTGCAGAGAAGGTGCAGAGAGAGATCACCGTTAACGTTTGAGAGGTTCTGTTCCAAAGTCCGATAGCAGCGGGGAACAAGCTGTCCTTCAATCTGTTGGCGCGTGTTTTCAAACTTTAAAATCTTCTGCCAGACGCAAGAGAGTATAATGAGGGTGGGGAGGGAAGGGGGAGGTGGGGGAACGTCTCCGATGCTATCGCTCGCTGTCCCGAGGCAGTGGGGAGGTGTAGGCAGTCAGTGGAAGGAAAGGCTGGTTTGTGTGATTCACTGGGCTGTGTTCACATCCCTCTGCAGTTCCTCGCGTTGTTGTGTAAAGCTGTTGCCGTGGTGCGTGCAGACAGAACGGTGCGTCTGTAAAAGCGGGTTCAGGGTTGGGGGGGCGTTCCTTGTGGGACGTGCTGGATTTCCTCAGCTCCCCTGAGGACGTTACTGATACTGCTGCGCTCTCTCACATCGACCAGGACGGATTGTTGGTGACCGTCCCTCATAGGGACCCGACTCTCTCGATCATCTCCACCTCAGACCCGTTGATACAGACGTGGGGGGAGGTAGTGGGGGGGAAACGTGCCCTCCCCTCTGCTTCCTGGAGTTAGTGAACAGCTCCTCCGCTTTGCTGGCATCGATGGGAGAGATCGTCTTCACACGCTGCCCCTGAGCAGCCATTCTTCATTGCGTTTGAGATCCAACGGTGGTGGGCCAGCGCGTTTGTAAACAGAGCCGGGGTTTGGGGTCGGATGGTGAGGGTGGAGGGAGATGTTGAAACACTGACATTCCCTACCCAGCAGATGTTAAGTCCACCCTCACAGAGACAGAGCTTCAAAGGAACACACAGCGCAGCAAGACACAACCATCAAGTTCTTTATTTCCTTCTGCGCGTACAGAGGTATCGTATTTACTGAACGACCTGGGGAGCAGGGAGACATAGTGTTGTCAGGCAAGGACAGGATAGGACTTGGCTTATACTGAAGCCAAGGACACCCCCACTCCTCCAACCAAGGGGGCTCATCTGAGGGACAACAGCCCGCGTGACGAGGGACAGATTGTCGAGGGGGACGGTGGTGAGGAGAGTGGGATCTACCCTTGGAGGGCCTGGTAGAGGAAGGGCAGGGTAGGGGAAGGGAGCAGAGGGAACAGGAAGAGAGAAGGAGGGTAAGGGGGTAGAAGGGAGCCAGAGGAGAGGCAGGAAGGTGTAGGGGGAAGGGGAAAAGTAGGGGACGGAGAGAGAAGGGGAGAGCAGACAGTGGAGAGAGAGACAGGAAGGAGAGCGGAAGATGGTTAGGGGAGGGGGAGTTGGATGGATAGGGGAGGGGGAGATGGATAGGGGAGGGGGAGATGGATAGGGGACGGGGAGATGGATAGGGGAAGGGGAGATGGATAGGGGGGAGATGGATGGGGAGGGGGAGATGGATGGGGATGGTGAGATGGATAGGGGAGAGGGAGATGGATAGGGGAGAGGGAGATGGATGGGGAGGGGGGATGGATAGGGGAAGGGGAGATGGATAGGGGAGGGGGAGATGGGTAGGGGAGAGGGAGATGGATAGGGGAGAGGGAGATGGATAGAGGAGAGATGGATAGGGGAGAGATGAATAGGGGAGGGAGAGATGGATAGGGCAGGGGGAGATGGATAGGGGAGGGAGAGATGGATAGGGGAGGGAGAGATGGATAGGGGAGGGGGAATTGGATGAGGAGGGGGAGTTGGATGAGGAGGAGGAGATGGATAGGGGAGAGGGAGATGGATAGGGCAGGGAGAGATGGATGAGAAGGGGGAGATGGATAGGGGAGGGAGAGATGGATAAAGTGGGGAGGAGCAGAGAGAGGAAGGAGACAAGTAGGGAAAGAGAAGGGAAGGGAGAAACATAAGGGGAGGAGGGTTAAGCAGGGATTGGGAAAAAGGGTTGAGGGAGAATGAAACCAGGCAGGGAGGGAGGA